GGCCAAATGGAAGACAGACTTTGAGAAACGCGTGATGATACGACGAGCAAGAATGGCAAGAACAATTAATATATTTGGTTATATATTAGTATGCGTTTTGATATGGTTGCTAATGGTTTTCCCGAGATTCGGGATCACCATCCGATACACAACGAATGTTACCGACATAAAGAAACTTCTCCCGTTACCAACTTATTACATGTACGACGTTACCGAAACTCCATATTTTGAAGTTATGTACATTATCCAGTCTACTAGTCTACTGGTAGCGACATTCTGTTATACCGGGGTCGATAATTTCTTTGGAATTGTAATCCTTCATATTTGCGGCCAATTAGAAAATCTCCGTTTTCATCTTTCAAACATGAAAGAATCACAGACATCGAAACACATTTTAGCAGCTATTGTAGAAGATCACATACGACTCATCAGGTATTACATATACATATTTAACACACGTCTAACGTTGTTCACACAACATACATTTCACATTATTTTTCTCTATTTTCCCAAATAATACATATCACAATATGTTTCATTCCATTTATTTATTTAACATACAATTAAAATTATAGAGCGATTAACGTGATAGAGAATACATCAACGCTGTTAGTTCTCGCGTTGTTAATTAATTTTGGTACGTGTGCTTGTATCTATGGGTTATTGTTAATCACAGTAAGTATCAAAAATGAATGCGATCGCTATTGTTGCACAGGACGTTGATCGCAAAACTGATAACATTGACATTGACATATTCAAATGTTTCTTAAAATTAGGTACCCGCTGGTAAAGAGGAATTTTCTGTAGTTCGAGCGGTCTACTTAATTTGTAATTTTGCAAATACATTTCTTCAAACGTTCCTCTATTTCATGGCGGGGCAAATGTTAGTAACACAAGTAGGTAAAGATTTTCATTTCATTTCCTTTCGCGACTCATTGCATCGCCTGTTTATATTCATTCAAAATCTCTTTGTGATACTTGTAGTCTGAGAGAGTACACGATGCCGCGTACGAATGCGAGTGGGTAAATCTGCAATCTAGGAAAGCGAAAAACTTGATTATAATCATGGCAAGATCGAGGAAACCGCTTCATTTAACCGCGGGAAAATTATTTCCTGTAACGTTGCTAACGTTTTGTAACGTAAGATTCCTTTCATATTCTTTTCTCTTTTATTTTGCTTTTTTGATCTTTGTTTTGATTTTGGTTTTCACTTGACACCATTTCAGATATTAAAAATATCACTCAGCTACATATCCTTCCTACTGACAAAGTATTAATGAGATATTACAATTTATGAAAATTCGTCAGTCAATTTAAGTGATTTTCTCCTGTATACGCCACGATGAAATAAATCAATTTTTTTTTCTTTTTTCTTTTTTTTTTTAAGAAAAGACATAGATAGACCGCTGTGTACATTTAGACACAAGTATCATTATTTATGATAGAAACAAATACACAAACTAATGTTGGAAACTTTGAATTGATTGTTTTTGTCTTCTTATATTCATTACACGAGCGACAAAAGTACAGTATACAGTTAACGAAGGTTTAATCTAATTAATTTTCAGAATTCTTTCCATTATCTGAATAAAGTAAAAAATACATCAATTATAAAAGGATCATGAGAAAAATAAAAAGAGAAAAAAAAGGAGGGAAAAGAAATTAAAATGCATAATTAGGAAGAGTTAACCTCATTTATGAGCCGTGAAATACCCGCGGTAAATAATTCAAAGTAAATAACTGAAGTCCTCCTTTTTCAATTTGGAGGAATACATTGCAAATAAATAAATATATTGTACATGTAACATGCATTGAAAACGATGTATTCTGTAATATAGTGTAATCGTTATTGAGCGCGATCATTCAACGTGCAATCCCATGTAAAATTTATTAGATAGTGGCATGGTCAAGTAATGAATTTACGCATGTACTTACATGCATATAATTGTGTAGTAGATGCATGGTATTTATGTAACGTTTGCTTGTCATATGTAGTGGAACGCGCAGTATAGTTTCGTGATATAGAAGTAAATCGATCGATCCAGCAGATATAGGTTTTTGCAAGAAAAAAAAATAATAGGATATGTGTATAATCGTAAAATATACAAGAAACTGAAGACGTTTCAAACGAAAAATAAGAAGGATAGGAATTAACAGATTTTGATTTGCCTGTTCTGCTTTGTGGGTGAAATATGCAATTTCCGTAGTAAGTATATAGATATAGAGAAGAATCATCGTTTGCTATTGGTTCGGTCGTAACAGATAACGGAATAAATGATCGTACGAAATAAAATTTTATAAATAAAATGAAATTTCCATGTGTAAAACCCTTCGGATCGACTAAATTGTTCACCGCACGTACACATTTAAGGTTACACGATTCTATATAGTATTGGCTGAGACATTTCTGAAAAATGATCTCAAATTATATTTGTATGCACAGCATGACAGAATTAAATAAATAAATTTCATTTTCAGAATAAATCGTAGCAAATGGAAGATTTTAAAGTGAAAGATGAACCGATGGATGCGTTAAACATAGACAGTCAGGTTATGGTAAACGTTTTCTATGAAACAGCAGCACCATACAATACAATGCTTCCACAAGGACTCTAACTTAAACCTTACTTTAAGGACGAAAACATTGTAAGCGTTGTACTTAAGGAAGAACCCGGCGATAGATTTGATCCAGACTACATGGAGGACATCTGCTCTGGGACATTCGAGAAGGTATTTTTACCTATCGAAAATAATGAAGTTGACTTCTCTAATGAAATGGTAAATTTCATTCAAAATTCTCAGCGATTGAGTTTCATTTGTAGAAGAGTCAATCGATCCAACAAAACAATTCTAGGTGAAACTTGAATTGGATGGAGAATCCAGTAGTCATCAGAACTGGACGGCGCAAATCGCAAGCACAAATTTATGTGACAAAGAAGATGGTGCTATGCAAAGGTGCTTAACGAATGCAAACTTTGCTCAAGTGCATGATGCAGAGAAACATTCTGGATTTTGTCCAAATGGACAGCAGCCGAAATTTTATAAAATACAGTGTTCCATTTGCAAGAAATGGTTTTTAAATAATGATTCCATGGTCACTCATCTAAGAATGCACTGCAGTGGAAATCAGTGTGAGGTTTGCCAACAAAATTTTCAGGATAGTTCCAGTTTACACGCTCATATGTTGACTCATGTTGGGATGAGTCCATTGGAATGCAATGTCTGTCAAAAACGATTCGCTTACAAATGGTGTCTACGTAGTCACATGCAAATGCATGTGCTAGAAAAACCGTACGACAATGACACGTTGCAACAAGTGTTTATGAAAAGACCAGATTCTGAGCATGATCAATCAATGAGCACAGATGAAAGAGTGTTTGAATGTGATGTTTGTCACACGACGTTCAAAGAGAAATCTAGTCTAAACCGTCATGTGCTTACTCATACAGAGGAAAGACCATATAAATGCGATGTATGTTTTGCAGCATTTAGGGAGAAAGCAAAGTTGAACATGCACATGACGTTACATGGTGGGAACAAACAGTTCAAGTGTACAATGTGTCACAGATCATTCACACAGAAAACAGCATTGAACAATCACATGTTAGCGCATAGCGGTGAGAAACCTCATGCATGTAATATTTGTGAAAAAACGTACAAACGAAAATCAGAATTAATAAGGCATACGATGGTTCACACTGGAGAGAGGCCGTACGAGTGTAAAGAATGCCTAATGACTTTTAGAGAAAAGGCAAAATTAAACTCTCACATGCTTGTACACACGGGTGAAAAACCACACGAATGTCATATATGCCATAAAGCGTGTGCCCGAAAATCCGATCTTAATAGCCATATGCTATTACATACAGGGGGTCAATATGATTGCAAAGTTTGTGACAAAATATTTACCCGTAAATCGGATTTAAATCGACATACTTTGATACATACAGGTGAAAAGCCATTTGCCTGTGAATTATGTAACATGGCCTTTAGAGAAAAAACTAGATTAAATTCTCATATGCTTATACATACTGGTGATAAACGTCATGCCTGTCATATTTGTCACAAAACGTTCAAAGAGAAGTCTTCATTGCGGAAACACATGTTAAGTCACACCGGTGACAGACCATACGAATGCTATGTATGTCATAAAGCATTTACTCAGAAAACAACGTTAAATAGTCATATATTGGTACATGCAGGAGAACGACCATATGAATGTAGTGCATGTCAAAAGATATTTAAGGATAAAGCAACGCTGAAAAAACATTTGTCTGTGCACATAAATGAAAAAACTCATGAATGTCTGATTTGTTTAAAAAAATTCACCCACAAAGCTGCATTAAATAGTCATTTATCGACAAATCATACATCCTAATCAGCGGGATCTAGTCTATTATATTTCGGCTTTTAGTTTCTTTTTACTAAGCACTGTTCATATATAGCTGCGTAAAGATGATTACGTCTATCTGTATCTGTTTTATATGCTATATGGTCCAAATTGAACGATCATATTCTTTTCTGTATATCTTTATGTATAATAAATTAATTTCTAATTAATTCTTAACGATCCCAGTCCTTTACAACCTCTCTGTGAGTTTATTGTATTTCCTATAAGACATTTATTACCATTATAACAGTTATAGACATTGATAACGTTTTCCCGATTACATCACGTTACATTCATATTAATTTCATACACGTGTATAAATAATAATCGAAAAATATCGTGATATTTCTCACGATGAAAAGATCCTACTTTTCTATCGTTTAAAAAAATTCCCTAGCATAATGATGTAGATTTTCTTACTAGATGAGCAAAGCGAACAAAATTTAAGTATCAATGATGATTGTTCGTCGTACAATGATTGTATATATATTTTAACTAATTCTTTGTTTGTAACACACAATTATTCGTGATATTTTTTGTTGGCTAGTTATTATTGTTGATTATACATGGAAATTGTCTTTTAAACATAAACCATGCTTAAAAAATTGTTTTTGTTAAATTATATATGAATATATTAAATTAATAAAACGTATAAATTTTTTGTAATTTAAAATTAATCAGAAAAAAGAATGGAATTGTCACAAAATCTTCAGATCTCATCTGACGAAAAAACAAAAGGATTTGACTTATCAGCTGGTAAAACATGGATTTATCCTGAAAATTGTCCTGTCAGAGATTATCAATTCAATATAGTTCAAGCAAGTTTATACAAGAATACATTGGTTTGTTTACCCACTGGTAAATATTTTTAAAAAACATTGCATTCAAACAAGAATGTGTACTTCATATTTATCTCCTTTTGTTCCTTCTTCTATTATCGTTAGGATTAGGAAAAACATTTATTGCTGCAGTTGTAATGTATAATTTTTGGAGATGGTATCCATGTGGGAAAGTTGTGTTTCTAGCACCTACAAAACCATTAGTTGCTCAACAAATCTTTGCGTGTCACAATACAATGGGTATTCCTAGTTCAGAAACTATCGAACTTACAGGTACATCAATAATATACTAAGTTTAAAAATCGACAAAGTTTGAATGTTATATGATTTATCTATTTAATAATTATATCATATTACATTATATTATTACATATTACAGGAGCAATCAACCACAAGCAGCGTGAAATAGCTTGGTTAAAAAAAAGAGTAATATTTGCTACGCCTCAAGTTTTTCATAATGATTTAGACAAAAATATTGTACCAAGTGATTTAGTAAAATGTGTAGTTATAGATGAAGCTCATAAAGCTTTGGGTAAACATTCTTACTGTGAGGTATTTATTTTATATATCATTCATGAATAAAGGAACATCTTTTTCATTATCAATATCTTTTAATAACTCAAGTAATAATATGTTTTATATCCACAGTGCATTCGAATATTAAATGGAAAGAATCAAAATTTCAGAGTATTAGCCCTTTCTGCTACACCAGGAAATAAAATTGATAATGTTCATGAGGTATATATTTTGTGTTAATATCAAATAGATTACAAAATCTTTTTGTAATTGTACCATGATTTTTAGCAATAATTAAATCGTATCTTGTACAGGTGCTACAAAATTTACTAATTGCTCATATAGAATTAAGAGATGAAACTTCTCTGGACATTATACCTTATATTAATAGAAGAAAAGTTGATATAATTTTAGTACCACTTAGCAGCAAACTAGTTGAATATAAAGTGAGATATATCTTTATTATGGATCGTCATGTTCAAATTTTACTTCAATACAATATTCTTCGTGGACAAACCGCAAACATTTCAAAAGGAAGGGTAAGTTACACTATTGAATATTTAACAATAATAATTTCCAAAGGGATTTCTCTTCCTGTTTCAGATATTTCATTTATTGAAGGAATATCAAAAGAGAACGAATAAATCGGGACAAATTATAAAGATATTAAATATATTAGTAACAATGTACCATGCTTACGAACTTATGATTAGAAACGGTCTTAGGGCGTTTTATAAATTTTATCAAAGTATAGAATTTTCACTTTTTCTTCTGTCACTTTCTACATAGAATTTATATTTAAATAATTTAAATAATCTTTACGTTATTTTGATAGATCATTCTGATAAATTTTGGATGAATGAAGAACCACAATTGCAGATATTACTTGAAGATATTAATACTTATCTTGGTCCATTCCCAGACATAAACATTTTATCTGAAGAAGCTGTAGTAGAAGTTTGTATAAACTTACATAAAGTACAAGAAATTTGATATTTTTTTTTGTGTATAACTTAGAAATTAATTTCAGATATCACAAAATCTTACATTTGGCCATACCAAGTTCGATAAGTTAAAAGAACTACTTTTGTTTCATTTCAAAGATACTCGGGAAAAACAAAGCGATACAAGAGCTATAGTGTTTGTCGAGGTTTGTGATTTTCAAATTCACTGACACGGTAGAATTTTATACACGACATATGTTATTTCCCTCTTGTACAGTATCGAGATATCGTGAATGAAATTTTTATTCTGCTATTACAATGCCAACCATTAATAAGGCCACAAATATTTGTTGGTCAAGCTGGACAGAAACAAAAACAACAGATGAAAGCGTTAGAGAATTTTAGAAATAATCATGTTAATGTTCTTATATCTACCAGTATAGGTAATATACAACATACACGATAATATAAAAAGTGATACAGTACACGTTGTTAATGAAAATAAATTTTTGTAAAACTTGATGTTTGGTAGGAGAGGAAGGACTGGATGTTGGAGAAGTAGATTTAATAATATGTTTCGATGTAACTCAACATTCACCGACGCGGTTAGTACAAAGAATGGGAAGGACAGGTCGAAAACGCGATGGACATATAATTATTCTTGTCACAGATGGTAAAGAACACGAGGTAATCAAAAGTACAATCTTCCAAAATATATAAAATATTTTATACGTTGAATTCTAATATTATAAACATTCTAATATTATTAGATATTAAAATCGACAATGGCTAGGAGAGATTCTTTGAACTTTAAGATATTAAATACGAGCAACATTTTTTCTTCACTTTATGAAAATAATCCTCGTATGATTCCTGATGTTTTTAGACCGGAATGTCTAAAAATGCAGATTAATATACAACCAAAAAGTCCAGTTACAAAAAGTAGAAATTATAAAGGAAAATCAAATAAAAAGGAAAGAAAATATCAAAAGGGATTAGTAAACCAGGTCTTAAAAGAGATTAGTAAACCAGGTAACAAAGTTATACATTTATGTTTATTGCAGTATCATTTGTAAATTCTATCGATATTAATTTTCGTATGCTAATTTTAGAATCCAATTTTGAATCGCACAAAGAAGAGACTAAATTTTCGATGATGAAGTATTTGAGAGTTGAACAAAGTAAAGAGAATGCGAAGTGTAGTTCCGAAGTATTTAATCCCGAGATAATTGAAAGTAATAATATTTACAAAAATATACCATCATCAGATGTGAAAATCCTTTCTTCTGACAACGATGGCATTGATTTCCTTACAACATGTGCTTTAAGAATCTCTGAAAAAGAAGAGGTAGTAAAGAATAAGTGCAAAATCGATAAATCTTACATACCGACATATTCTTCCATAAAAAATTTTTTCAATTTTTCTATACCGGATACTAAAATCCTCGATTTTTTGATCACGCTGAATGATGTTACTCCACTTGCTCCACTTAATGTCAATAAAAGCAAATTAGATGATGATAATAAAAATGACAACGATGATAACAACGACATCTATAACAATGAATGTGTATTTGAAAACGTAATAACAGATATCATTGATAAACCTCAACGTCAATTGCCTTCTAGATTTGAAGATTTGCTCGATGACAGTAGTAAATCGGACGAAGACGATCTATTTTCTGCCCTTTCGATCGCTTCCGATCGATCTGCAAAGAACGACATTGTTGAGTCAGAGCCAATTGGAGCAGGAAATAAAAATAATACATTGAAAAGCTTGGAACCCGGCAATTTTGAAGATATATTAAATGAAACATCAGACGACTCTGAAATTAAGTCCGTTGAAAACTTTGGACAAAGCTGGACGAAACATACCGATATTAATAACGACGTGGAAGTAAAAGACTCTGCGAATGCTGTAAGATTGAATAATAATTTCAAATCGAAAGACGATATATATTTTGAGGAGATGATCGAAGTAAGCGATAATTTTTCTCCGATTCCGTTTAACGAGTGTGAACGTAACGTTGAAAGCAAACGTAACGCAAAAATAGAAGATAAAGATAACCACTCGCAAGGAAAGATGTTCGAAATTGAAAATAAACGTATTTTTAGTATAACACAAGCAATCGATGAAATATCTCGATTAAATTCAAATTCAAATTCAATCAATTCGAACTGGATGCTAGATGAATCGGAAGACGATATATTTCAAGATGAAAGTTTTTCAGAGCAAGTTGATGATCAATTGAATTTTAATGGAGAGATGATTAATTTAATTGAATATAAAAAAGACGAACAGAATTCCGATAAGTCGAAAAATTTAAATAATTCAGACGATCGATCGATACCGAATACCGAGTTAAAAATGGAAGAATTCGAATGGAACGATGATTTTGATGAAGTGTCAACTGGTACCGTGAAAGATTACGTGAAGAAAGTGAAGAAAAGTGAAGAAAGACAGAAGAGTGAAACAGCAACAGAGAAGGAAACGAACATGGGAGCATATTTTTCAGACGACGAAGAATGGATTTCAGTCGAAGAACCGATAAATATTTCAAAGGAGAACGCTTCTCGACGTACAACCATAGCGAATAAATTAGCAAACATGGGAAAACGTTGGAATGCAAAGAATGAGAATTATTCCAGGAATAGAAACGATTCGATGAATCGTGATTCAACTGTAAAAGAACGGGGAACAAGTATTTTTTATTTGATCGATGAATCAAGTGATAAAAAAGAGAAGGGAAACGCTGCAAAGTGTTCCCGGAAACGTAAACATAAAGTTGGAAAGTTGAAAAAAACAAAAAATGAGTTTATACAGGAGGAAGCGGACGTTTCTTCAAATGACAACACGACGGATGAAAGTTCCGAGACGGACAATGATCTCGAAGATTTCGTCAGTTATACGCAGGATATACACGATACAACAGAAGGCATGCACGGCCATTATCTACGAACCATTAGAAGCCCGATAAAAAGACAGGGTGGTTTTCTCTTCAAGCAACCACGCCCGCCCGATTCCAATGTAGATGTATATTCGCAGAACTTAACCGAAATACACGACCAATCTTACATAAACGTAAGTGAAGATCATGCGAAGCGATCACGTGAATAACGTAATAAAGACAAAACACAAACTTGAAAGCTTGTTATGTTACGTTGAATGACTATGTTGAATGCTTGTTTCTTCTAGGATTCGTTTTGCGTAGAGGAAGAGAAAAGTGACGATCAAAAGATTACTCGAGACAGCGAACTGTCCGAACTGGAGAAAGCGGAACTGAAGCTTGAAAAGCGAAAAAGGGCACGCAAACGAAAACACAGTAAAGACACTAAGATTGGACAGTCGAAACGAAGTAGACGAAGGAATATAATAAAATCATTTAGTAGTAGCAGCAGTGAAGATGAGACTGAAATGTTGCGCAAACAAATAAGAGACGAATCGTTTTTGTTAACGCGATCGTGACGTTTTCTCTCATTTTTTTTTTTTTTTTTTTTTTTTT